TAGCTCAAGTCCACCATAGAAGCTCATGATAATGATAAGAGTATAAGCACAAGACAACAATGCAAATGGATATCTAGTTTGTTTGTTTCAAGAGGTATCTAGACTTAAGTATTTCATCAAGAATTCATAAGTGATGTCTAGATCAACTCACATGTGATATCCTGTAAGTGGAACTCATGAAGATAGCCAAGGTTCAAGAAATGATTTTTATTGATAAATCCAACAAGTGGTTCCATACTAGAAAATTCTTTCAAGTGGTATCACATCTACATGTGGTATCAATCATGCAAGACGATGGTTCCACAAGTGATCCTCAACTTTAAGTGATCATCAAATGAAGAATGCATCCCTCACTTCCAAGAGTTCAAGTTTAGCAAATGGATGACCCATGCTATGACATAGGGAGAGGTGTCCCACAAATTGGTATCAAGGACGAAGATCCTATGTGTGGTATCTCAAGGGCTACAAGTGGTGTCATTTCAACAATCAAGTGATGTCCATAAAAATGCAAGATTCAAGCCTCAACCATCTACCCCAAATGCAAATCTTTGCATCAATAAGAAGCACACCTTTTATGGAAATTAATGACAAAGGGGGAGAGATTGAGACAAAGAAGTAGAGGTTGGACATGGACATGGACAAAGAGGGAGCAACATTGAAGAAAAGAGATGGATCAAAATGCTTTGGGAGAGATTGAGACAAAGAACTAGAGGTTGGACATGGACATGGACAAAGAGGGAGCATCATTGAAGAAAAGAGATGGATCAAAATTCTTGGACAAGAGAAGCACACAAGTAGGGGGAGCAAGCTCATGAACTTTGATTGGTTGCATTTGATATGTGCATAGTCATGTGCTTGCTTGCATTACATAAATCTCTTAAATTTGATATGCATGCTTGTGTGATGTATGCTAGTTATAGAACCTGAATAATGATTTGATAACTAGCATGTATAGGATGATAGCTAGACACTTGGTATGCTTTTCAAGTAATGCTAGTACCTTGCTTTTAATGTTGATCTCACGGGGTTTCTAGTATTTTTGTTGTCTAGCTACTCATGGTGCTAAGGATGACGTTAAAAGTGCAACTCTGATTGGTATCACACTTTAAAGGTTTATTCTATACATCTTAGCATCATTTGGTAGTAATTACTCTCCCACAATTCCAATCTATGCATATGTGCGAGCTTCAAACTAAACACTCTAGCACATATGTAGGGGGAGCTAATACTATCATTTTGGGTTCGTGGTACTTGTCCAAAATCATTTACACATGGTAAAATTGCTTGGGCAAGCAACATGAATCCAAAAGAGCATAATTTCCATATCTTTGTAGAGTTGTCATCAATTACCAAAAAGAGGAGATTCAAAGGTCCTTGTGTGGTTTTGGTAATTGAGTGACAACCTAGGTGGACTAATTGTGTTTATGTGAGATACACAGGTAATTAGTCCACAGGTATATGTGTGAGCAACATATGTCATGAAGGTGAAAATGGCTCGGAGATGTTGCAAAGCTCACACATGTGATGATGGAGGAGCACATTGCACATGAGACATGACATTGAGTCATGTGATCAAGGTGGAGAAGATCAAGACATGACTTAGCTTGATGGACCGGTTGCAAGCGTGAAGGGCAAGTTGGAGGCTTTGAAGTGATGGACCGCGTGGCGGTGAAGCTTGAGCAAGACTTGGCGCCGATGGACGGAGGCAACGGTGAAGAGCAAGTGTAGTCAAGATCGATGAACCAATATGATCACATGATGATATGAAGTGGATCATATCATTGTTGATTATGTTGGTGCATGTGTTGCATTGACATTAGAGAAGATGGAATGGAATGCGCAAGGCAAAGGTATAATCTAGGGCATTTCATTTCACCGGTCATAGGTGTGTAGAGAAATTGATGATAGGATTTAGGATAGATGGTCATACTATCAAGAGGGGCAAACTTGTTTGCATATGGGTCATCTAGTGCCACTTGAGTGATCTAACATTGCATCATCGCTAGGATTGAGTGGCATGGCAAGTTGAGTGGCTAAACCTTTGGAAAATAATTGTGAAAATGATAACACACATACACATGGTGGTGTACACTTGGTGGTGTTGGCACATTTACAAAGGTGAAGAAGTTGGAGTTGATGTGGATCAACTCGGTGATGAAACGAAGGTGAAAGGAGGTCACTGTCAGTGACTGAACGCTGTACAGTAAAAGTGACTAGACGTGCAGGGCCTGCGTCCGGTCACAGGTGACGTATGGTGACCTAGGCGGCACTGGATTGGGCACATGGGCGCAGAGCTGATCGAACGTTGGCCTATGTCCGGTCGTGCAGGAGCGGACGCGTCCGATCGCAGTTGAGCGGCTCTAGGAGCTCTCTAGACTCAACCGGACGATGCCCCTCCTACGTCCGGTCATGGTGGACCAGACGCGTCCGGTCAAAAAAACCCGGCTCTGGTAGCTTACTAGAAACGACCGGACTCCAATGTGGAGCGTCCAGTCACTTTGAGCAGTGCGTCCGGTCGCAACTTAACCATTGAGATCGAGCGCTCAGCATTTAAAGCCAGGGATGATGTGGCAGCCATCCGTTGATCGAATGCTGGCAGGGTGCGTCCGGTCGATCTGACCGGACGCTGTTATGTATTTTTACCTCAATTAGTTTCACTAGAAACTAGCAATTAATTAGGATTAATTATGAAGACCATATTAAAAGTATGTTTACTATAGGTTTAATATTTTTCCTAGCTAGAGCATGTCAACACAAGACCATCAAAATTAGAATCACAATTTTATCACTTTTCTAGCTGAAATTATGCAATTTACAAGATAGAAACCATTTAAAAAGCATTTATCTAGCTACATTTTATTCTCCCATAAAAATACTAGAAACAGTGCATCACATATTTCTATCAAATACTACACTTCAAGACCAAACTAAAAAAAATTGGCTCACCAAAATTGGACCCTCCTAGCTTGAGATGAATGTTTGAAACATGCATTCAAATCTGTGAAATTAATCAGAAATTCAAATCTTATACACACTGACAACCGGGGCCACGGTCAATGGGGACCCACCCGTTAGACACACAGAAGCAGAGCGCGACGCTGACCGGCGAGAACTCGCCAATGGTTTCGTCTTCACCACTAGACTCTACACGTCAAGTCGAGTCGACTGGTAGGCTTGGTTGGTCCGGTGGCCTGCCGGAGCAAGCTCGACGGCGGCCATGGCGGACGGCGGAGGTCGGTGGCGGTACGCCGGCCATCTTCGGCTATGGCAAACTCAGGCGAGGACAGCTACTCTATCCTGGTGACCTAGTGGATCTATACGGCTTAGGTTAGGGCTCGGGATGGCATCGGTGAGCTCGGCCGCGTGCATGGCCGTGCGGTGGCGCATGGAGCACGGTGGTGCTCATGATGTTTCGGCTAAACGACGGCAAAAGGCAGGTCTCCATCAAGCCGTTAACTAGACCTAGGGTTACTCGACCTAAGGCACGCGATAAAGAAGGGAGGTGGTGGACCAACTCGACGACGGCGAGCTCGAGTGCCACAGCGGCCATGGCGGGCGCGCGTGGGGCGGCGGCTCGTTCTGGCACCGTCAGGTGGTAGAGGCACCCCTAACTCTGACCTAAGCTGCTATACTCTAGCGTGGTGCTGGACCAAAGCAAACGAAGGCATGTGAGGCTGCGGAACGGCGGAGCCACGGTGAGCCGCGAGCGTGGCGGCGCTCCGGTGATGGCGGCGGTCGCGGCAAAGTGAAATGACGTTCTACCTGGGTTCGATAGGTGGTGCTGGTGGCTCGAGGAGGTGGAGGTGATGGCATAGCAACTGTGGCCGAGGAGAATTGACCGATGGAGCTACGTCGGCGGCGCAGCGCTGCGGTGAGGCGGAGCGAGCAGGAGAAGGCGAATGCGTGCAAGTGGAGTGAACAGTGGGTGCGCGGTGCTTAAGTGCGCGCGTTGGACAGACCGGCTAGGCCAATGCCGATGTACGGCCGCCACGCGGCGGCCGCGGCCTGTGGCCGGTAGGCCACTGCCGGGCACGCGGGTGCGGTTCCGGCGCTACCCTCGCCGACTGACAGCGTGAATTGGTGATCAATTACTCCTAATCCGTTGCAAATTAGCAAAAACTTCCTTAATGAAAGTTGTAGAGCTACATGAGATCTCCATCTTTGCCTTAAGAGCCATCATTTAATTCTCACTGGTTAACAAACTACATTGCTCCAAAGTAAGGTATATCAAAACTGTAAACAGCCCTAAGACTTAGAAAAATTTTGCAAGTCCAAAACAATATTTTGTTGATACTTGTAAGTTGTTTTTGAGCATGCTATGCTCTGAATTAGATCTTGACCCAAAAATAAAAGTTGTTACTCTAGTCAAGTACTACAACTTTGCTTATGGGTGCACTACCATGCAAACACTCTATGCAATAGTTCAATTTAAGTCAAACATACATCTTGAAAATAAAAGCCTACACTATAACCATGACTTAGAGGTCAAATGGGTCCAAGTCATGAATACCAAAGTTGTTCCATATGACATTCTAAACAGGTTTAAGGTACTCCACAAACATTTTATACATTGGTCACATTTAAATCCTAGCATATGCATGTATATAAATCAACATTTCAGGTGACAAAGTATAAGAATGAGATGAAATTTCATATGCTCATGTTCATGAAAGTTTGGATGATGCTTGTGCTCATGAAATGCAGGTGTCAAATGCAATGCTTAACAAAGAGGTGTTACACAACATTTCACACAATACATACATAATAAATATAAGCAGATCAATTACATTTACGGACAATGCCATACATACACACGGCTAATAATACCGCGCGTGCATGCCCGTGAACAGCAGCTTATTCATACATAAGACAACTTATTCATAACACAAGAAGCCGTGATAACTATAAATCACGTGCATATATGTAGACCTTGTTCGACACCTTTCAACACTATATAAGGAGGCCTTTAGGTTTTTTATTTAATTGCCCCAATCAAGAGGTTAAAAGTGTGCGCTTAAACCTGCATTGGCGTCGCTTGTTAAAACTGCTGGTCTTTCACCATCCAGGGCAAACCCGGCGGTGACTTCTTGTGAGACAGGTAATGTGGCGCCGGCTTGGTTGAGGTCAAATGCGCCATCGTCGGATTGGTTGATGAGGACACCATCTTCATGGGCGATGTCAGGCAATGCATCACCGTAGGGTCGTGCTTGTGCAGAAGCTGCAAACATGAGAACCATGGCGATGACGACCATGGCAGGTAACACTACAGATTTGGAGCCCATTGCATGTGTATATTGGAAGCACTGCACTGATGCTGCTGATAATCTCAGTCGTCACTCGGTTTGTGCCTTCAAGTGTATCGATCAACACCACTTAGTATTTATAGACGCGTCGTGCCGTATAGCTATACCTAATTTCTATCTGACTATCTCCATGCGCGTGTTAAATTAAAGAAAACCAAAATGACGAAAATGTGCTCATCGACGATGACATTCGGGATCATGACGTACTCAAAGTCAAAATAGATAAGATATACGGACGTATCTGTCAAGAAACACTGCCGCTTAAATGACATTTTCAGTTCCCTGTGTGAAGTTGCAAGCAACACGTCAAGAAAAGTGTGTGCCTAGCCTATTAATTAGACATATGCTAAAATATATAAACTAGCTAGGCTTACGCGCATATATATAGTTATATTGACATCAAAAGCTATCATATCCTCTACCGAAAGAAAATAAAATACTTCTAAAGGTTATTTAAGTAAATGTTGGTCCAATATTTTTCATTTATCTGGGTCCAAAGGAAGTATGTACTAAAAATCTTGTTGCTTATTATGGAGTTGGCATATATAGTTGGGTCAAAATTTTGGTTGGATTCTTCCTTCACACATGATTTTTCAGAAGAAAACCAAGTGCTAACTATATATTTGTCCAGGATGTCTACATATTGAGTAGTCCATAAAAGAAGCTAGATCACCGTTTCTCTTAATGCAATGACATTCTAGAAATGTGTTTTCAAAATTTATGGACCTGGCACACTTTAACAAGCTGAGGGCCGCTCATGCATTTAGTTATTAATTAATTCTTTATTATAACTTGTCAAGTTACTAATACAAGGATTTTAATTTTATTAGTCTACGAATAAAGGGCTCATTTCCCCCTAAGACCTTGAAAGTATGGAGACGGGCAGGCACAGAATCTCACAAATGGCATAGTTTCGCTGGTAATTTTCAAAGCTAACCCACAAATGGCATAGTTATTTCTTATGAAACCATTGCATTGCAGAACTTTCTCGAAGATACAAATGTGAGCACATAGCTACAACATGCTAATTCAATTTCTTAAAACCGTCCAATGCAGTTTTGCTGTATTGTTCAACTGAACAAGAATTCTGTTGGGGAACGGTTGCAAGTCGTGGAGGCTAAAGCCACTAGCGACGACAGGGACTAACAGTGTTTTTCCAAAGTTCTCATGGCCAGAATGTAGGGAAAAGCAGGCGGAGGCCCGGCGTTCTGAAGCAGAGGTCCCGCCAGAGGCGGAGGCCACAACTGAGGATACCCAGGCGGCGGAGGCAGCCCAGGGCGAAGGCTCCGGTCCCATGGTGGGCTCCCGCCACACGATGCTACTGGGCCGTGAGCCGATAGCGGATCGTTGGCGACGGCCCAGCAAGATAAGGCGGTCGGAAATAAAGATACCCCATGTGTCCTTGGCGGCTTGTACTAGCACAGGTATATTCGAAGAATAAACTGTAACCGACATGGGTAAAATTGTAAGGAACAGTCCTAGTCAACGGTGCCCTATAAAAGAGAGGATTGGAATTATGTAAGCGTTTGGTTGAGGAATACATTCATGAAACCGTAATTGCGCCTGATCCCACTTTCCACTTTTCATACCTTCGCCCAAGGAGTCTGACTGGGCGAAGGCACATCGTGTTCCATCTGCTGGAAATCCCATTTTCCAACATTGGCGCCCACCACGTGTTGGCCAAGCAAAACCCACGATGGCAAAAAAAAAGAGTAGCCTCCACCAGAACACCCGCGGAGCCTTCAACAAGGGGACGACCCAGGCATAATACTCGCAGCGCTTATGCCAGCGCCCCAGAAGACCAATTGTGGAAGAACCCGCGGTCGAAGAACAGCCTCCGGCAGCTGAAGATCTGCAAGCCTCAGATCCCACCTCGGATCAGGTACTCCAACAATTGCAAGCTCAGTTGTAGAGTACACAACAAGAAAGAGATAGGCTGGCAGCAACCTTCGCCGCAAATCAGAGGGCAGCCCAGACATCATTGCAGGCAGCGGAGATCAGGCAATAGTTGATCGTCCTATAGGCGGAGATTCAGAGCATGTAGCAAAGCCAGCCCTAGTCTAACATCTCCAACCAGCTCCGATCAACAAGTCAAAGCCAGCCTAACCCATCGCTAGGTATGGCCACCCAGCCAACCTTAGGCACACCTTTCAACTCACCGCCATCTCATAGAGCTATAGATTCAAGATCCCTACTATCCGAGGGAATCCAAACCTCACCCTGGCCACCATCTTACAAGCCCATTACCCTACCCAAATTCAACGGAAGGTCAGACCCCCACCAGTTCATCATGAGTTTTGAGACAGCCGTAGCCTCCATAAGAGGGAATGACACTATCTTGGCCAAGTCATTTGTTATTGCAACCGAAGGAGATGTATTAGCATGGTACTCAATGTTGAGGCCAAGTTTAGTATATTCATGGGAGAACCTCCGAGATAAGATCATCGCTAACTTCAAAGGTTTCACCATTGAATCTTTGACATCAATGGACTTATTTCAGTGCATACAGAATCAAGGTGAAGCACTAACGGATTATTTTTAGAGGTTTGAAACCAAATGTCCCAGAAGATGTGGCAATTGAGGACGCAATCAAGGGTCTTCGCATCAGAGCCTTCACGGCTCATCTAGCCCGGGAAAAGCCAAGCACCATAGAAGAATTATACAGAGAGTTTGAGAAGTACTGCAGGTCAAACAATGACCTTCTAAGAAGGTTGGAAGAGCAAAATCAGAACAAGCAGTAACAAGCAAGTGGCAGGAATGCTCCGAGGGGCCACAGAAGCCAAGGCCAATCACAGCCGCAGCAGACCCCTGATCAACAAGTTTTTAACTTAGAACAACCAGGGAGCAGCCAGCAGCAGCAGCAGATGCCGGAGGCAGAACAAAACAAACCATTGCACAAGCAGTACGAAGGTAAGAAATACAATTAAAGGAAGAACTAGAACAAAAACCAAGAACCAAGACAGCGGAGGCAATATTGTTTCTTTCATGGAGAAAACAAAGGGTACATCACCAGAGATTGCCCAGATGCGAAGGAAACTCATGAGAGGATAAAAAGCAGGGAAAACCCTCAACCTCGGTCACAACAACCCGCTAGGGAAGTGAACCACACCTTCGCTGCGCCTTCACAGCAACCATATTGCCCAATCTACCCAAGCCTTAACTCCAATCAAATTCACCCATCCACCTTAGCAGCCGCATACTATCCCAATTTTCTGCCTGCATGGCGACCAAGCACCCAACAGCAAGGGTAGGCAAGTAATCTATGAGCAGAAGCCAACCTCACTTACATAAACCCAAGGCCTCCGCACATAAGATTCATAGAAACAAACCAACCAGCTCAAGTACACAATAGACAACTCGAAGCACCTCTGCCGCCACCCCCACCACAGCTAGCCACCCCCAAAAATGAACCTAACCTAGAAAATCAGCTCAACCCACATACACCACTACCCACCATCGGCATGATACTACCAATAGCCGGAGGCTCTTCAATGGAATTCCAAACAAAGAAGCAGAAGAAGGATCACCTCAGGCTTGTCAACAACATAGCAGTCCAAGACCCAATGCGCTACACAGATTGGTCAAAGTCACCAATCACATTCTCAGAGCAAGATTTGCAACTGGAAAGCTACCCCCATACCGACGCTATGGTAATCAGGGCTAACATAGCGGGTTGGGAGATCAACAAGATTCTCATAGACTCTAGAAGCTCAGCAGACATCATCTTTGTTAATGCCTTCGACCAGATGAAACTAAGCATAAGCCAGCTGTAGCCTTCAGATTCACTGCTAATCGGTTTCGGAGGAAAGAGGATCGAAGCATTAGGAAAAATATCCCTGCCAGTTTCCTTCGGAGGCCAGGAAAACGCAAGAATAGAATATGTAACTTTCGACGTAGCAGACTTCTATTACCTATACAACGCCATCTTCGGTAGAGGGTTTGCACACAAGTTCAACATAGCCATCCATATGGGTTACTTGTGCATGAAAATGCTAGCTTTGCACGGCACTATCACAATACGTGGCAGTCTGAAAGAAGCAAGAAACATAGAAAGAGCTATCTACAAATCGCAGTGAAACATCAATTCCGTTGATTCAGCTATGATACTGAGGCAGAGCCTCCGGACATGATGAAGGGCAAAATAGATCTCAAAGATCAAGAAGAAACAAAGTTAGTCCCATTGGAATATGCAGTCCCGGATAAAAAGGTCACCATCGGAGCCAACCTATCGAAGGCAGAAGAAACAGAACTCATAGAAACTTTAACCAAAAACAAAGACGTCTTCGCCTGGTCAACCTCTGATCTGAAAGGTGTCAGCAGGGATATCATACAACACTCCCTTGACATCAACCCAAAATGAAGCCAAGGAAGCAGAGGCAAAGGAAAATGCTAGAGGAAAGAATCTTAGCAGCGAATGCCAAAGTACAGAGGTCGTTAGATGCAAACATCATCAGAGAAGTCAAGTACTCAGAATGGTTAGCAAATGTAGTGTTAGTACCAAAGAAGAATGAAAAGATGAGAATGTGCATAGACTTCACAGATCTGAACAAGGCATGCAAGAAAGACCCGTTTCCACTACCAAGGATTGATACCTCTGTCGATAAGGCGGCAAGATGCAAGTGCTTCTCCCTACTGGATTGCTTTTTAGGATATCATCAAATCTGGCTCAACAAAGAAGATGAGGAAAAGACAAGTTTCACTACCTCCTTTGGAACTTACTATTACACCAGAATGCCCGAAGGACTAAAGAATGTAGGCTCGACCTTCGCCAGAATGACAAAGGCAGTCCTTGGCCCACAATTACAGAAAAACATCATAGCTTATGTCAATGACATTGTGGTAATGAGCAAGAATGAGGAAGATCATATAACAGATCTGAAGGAAACCTTAGCCAACCTTAGGGAAGCAGGCCTAAAGCTAAACCCAAACAAGTGCATTTTCGGTGTCAGCCAAGGAAAGATGCTTGGGTACATCATAGG